CCCTGCTTATCGGGGAACATCTTGGGTATCTTACCGCCTGGTACTCGTATCCACCTCTTCTGTCTGGGCTACGTAAATTACTGATATGTGACTCGGCCGAAGTGTCTTTTTTGCCCCCCCCCTCTGCATGTCCCCACTCGTGCGAGAACTCTTCAACTTTCGCTTTCTCGTACAGTTCTTTTCTTAAGAGTTCTTCGAAAAACACTAATACTCAATCCATGCGTAATATTCATTCCTGCCATCGAAATACCATGAGGAAACACTTGAACCATAGAACATATTATACGGGTAGTCCAAACCTATCTTAAAAAAAACAAACAAAATACACATTAGGGTTATGATGACTTGATATGATTAGTGACATAAAAATCGACAAAACGAAAATAATCACTCAAGGCCTGAACAGTACACGAATCGATAAATACAAATGACATCACAATATCCTGATACAATCTTACAAGGAATCTCAGTAGTACTCAAATATCATATTCCTGGACATACCAGCACTACTAGGAATGAACAAAGGTATCAAAGATCTATCATATGGAATAGGTGATAAACATTTCAAGCGAACCAAATAATTTTATCATATCCACGCACCTACGTCGAAACAACTACTGTGCTTGGATAAGAGGTCAACAAGGGCTTATTGGAAGTTGAAGCGGAACCCTGGAAGGATGCAGTTTGACGACTGAGGGGGGGGGCATTTTGCACTTTCGCTACTTCCCATCGACGTGTCGACCTATCTAGGCAGCCTCTTCTCGAGTTGACAGGTTTTACCATGATGGCTAGATGAGCTTGCTCCAGCTTCACAAGTTCACAGGTTTCGCCAGAGTGAGACTTGTAAACCGGAACTAGGGAAGCAATGATAGTACAAAATGCCCCCCCTCCCCGTCGTCAACTGCGCCCCCTAGAAGGTTCAAGATGCCGGCTGACGGCCAACATCATATTCCCTTCATCACCTCCCTAGGTTGTCCGAAAAGCTTCTGGGCACTTTGATTTGGTCTTTAAACTGTAACCCCAGAACTTTTTTTCCCAAACCTCGAAAACTGGCATACAATATGATCACCATGGCTAAGTCCTGCACCGCTATCCAGTTCAGTTTCTGTAGCTTTCATACGTGACCACCTTGACTTTCTAACATGGTCGGGACAGCGGCTGCCAAAGCACTGAAAAGCATCGAAGGGTGCCAAAGAACATGGACGAGCGAGGAGATGGGTTTCTTTGAAGGATGGGGATTGCACGCCGGGAATTCTCTCAGAGGAGGGGACTCCGCTGAATGAGGTACCTATCATTCAATCATTCATGGAACGCTGGGAAAAGAAGGGCTGCAGTGGTAATGAACCCATCTATATAAACTAACACAGAGCAGCCCAATTCGCCGTGATTCAAGGAATACAGGGCGCAGTTCGGCGACTGGGGGGGGGGCATTTTCGATGCTTCTCATTGTCGTGGCGAGCCATCAAGTACAGCGTCGCGGGAATCTCGCGAAGCCATCAAGTGAGCGAATGCGCCAACAGGGTGCAGCATCGTGATGTGTGAAAGGGTGGTGTAGGGACGACC